TCAGCCTTCCAAGTAGCTGGAACTACAGACATGTGCCACCACATCCAGCTTATTTTTTGATTTATTGTAGAGATGAGGTCTCACCAAGTTGCCCAAGCTGGTCTCGAACCTATGGGCTCAGGCAGTCCTCTCACCTTGGCCTCCCAAAGTGCTGGGATTATAGGCATGAGCACCTGGCCTCCATTGTCTTTTTGAATGGACATATGAGATTCCATGAACAGACTGGACAGGCTGGACCTCACCTCCCTGTTAGAGGACATGAAGCTGTTTTTATTTTTGTCTATTATAAACAATGCCAGGATGAGAAAAGTCTGCATTTTTTTGGTACCTATGCTCCAGTATTTCATTAGGATTTATAGCTAGATTTAATTGCTCATTTAAATCGTATGCAGACATGGAGCTCTTAGAATTACCTTCTAGGATGCAGGACCACCTTATACCCTAGACCCTCACATGCTGGGTATCATGCCTAAAAATTTTTTTTAGCCAATTTGGTAGGTGAAAGTGAGACTTGCACTGGTGACTCCTGACTTTGAAACTTTTTCCAAATGTTTATTTTTTCTCTTGTACATTTCATGTTCTTGTCTGTGGCCAGTTTTCCTGTGAGACATGCTTTTCTTCTTCTTCTTTAAGCTTTTTTTTTTTTTTTTTGACTTGGAGTCTCACTTTGTCACCCAGGCTGGAGTACAGTCACATGCTCATGGCTACTGCAGCCTCGACCTGCTGGGTTCAGGTGATCCTTCTGCCTCAGCCTTCCAAGTAGCTGGAACTACAGGCACATGCCACCACGCCCGGCTAATTTTTTGATTTACTGTAGAGATGAGGTCTCGCCAAGTTGCCCAGACTGGTCTTAAACCCATGGGCTCAGGCAATCCTCTCACCTTGGCTTCCCAAAGTGCTGGGATTATAGGCATGAGCCACTGTGCCTGACCTCTTTAAACTTTTTTAGTACTTTTCTTTACCTTTGCTGCACAGGTAATCCATACCCCTTGCCAACTGTAGAGCTGAATTAGTTATCTCCTCCTGCTTGAAAAACTACTCCAAAACGTAGCAACTTCAAATGACAAAAACTTATTATCTCACACAGTTTGTGATTGTCAGAAATCGAGGAGCAGCCCAACCAGGTGGTTCTGGCTTAGCTCTCTTGTGAGGTCACAGTTAAGATGTCATCTGGAGGCCTGGCGTGGTGACTCACACCTGGAATCCCAGCATTTTGGAAGGCTGAGACAGGAGGATTGCTTGAGCCCAGGAGTTCAAGACCAGCCTAGCCAATGGAGCGAGACCTTTTCTCTATAAAAAAATACAAAAATTAGCCGGATATGGTGGCTTGTGCCTGTAGTTCAAGCTCAGGAGACTGAGGTGGAAAGATTGCCTGAGCCCAGGAAGTCAAGGATGTGGTGAACCGTGATCGTGCCACTGCACTCCAGCCTGGGTGACAGAGTGAGATCCTGACTCAAAAAAAAAAGTCATCTCAAGGCTCCACGGGGCTGAAGTTTCCCTTCCAAGATGGCTCACTCACAGAGCTGTTGGCAGGGGGCCTCCGTTCATCTCCATGTGGGTTTCCATGGAGATACAAGGTGGCTTGAACACCCTCAGGACATGACAGTGAATGTCACAGAGCAAGTGAGCCCAGAAAGAGCAGGGAGCAAGCTGTGATTTCTTTGTAACCTAGTCACCCGCTGTCATGTCCGCCATGTTCTATTCATGAGAAGCAAGCCACTAAATCCAGCCCACATGCAGAGCTGAAATCAGGCTCCGCCTTTTAGAGGGAGGACTGTCGAAGAATTTGTGGGCATATTTTAAAACTGCCACAATAATGATGCCATAATTTATAACATACAGAAAGAGACTCCTTTCCTAGACTGTTTTTGCTTTTGGTGGGTCGGGGTCTCATTCTGTCACCCAGGCTGGAATGCAGTGGCACGATCATGGTTCACTGCAGCCTCGACCTTCTGGGCTCAGAAGTTCTTCCACCTCAGCCTCCTGAGTAGCTGAGACTCAAGGGACACACCATCATGCCTGGCTCATTTTTTGATTTTTTTGTAGAGACAAGGTCTAGGCTGGTCTAGAACTCCTGGGCTCAAGTAATCCTCCTGCCTCGGCCGCCCAAAGGGCTGGACTTGCAGGTGTGAACCGCTGTGCCCGGCCAGCCACCTTTTCTAGATTGTTGAGTAGCTCATTGTCCCGTTCTTGTGCGCTGCTAGCCTCCTGCTGGACTGGGACGGGGGTGGTATCATAGTGTCTAGTCCACGGGACAGGCATGCAGTAAACAATTTTTTTACTGAACTGAACAGGAATAAAGCCAGCCATTCCTAGGAGCTTGCTGCCAGTTCCGGTGGGTACTCTCTCTATTCCTATTCATCTGTCCTGGACACAAATGAAGACATCACACTGATTAATTCAATTAATTAATTCAAATTAAACACACAAACATTCAGCTCCTTATTTGCATTACCCCATCACAAATGCTCAGTGGCCGCATGTGGCCTGGGGCTGCCCTATAGGACAGTGCATAGATAAGACACTCCCATCATCACAGATGTCCCAGATCCCGGGTGGTTGGGTGAAAGAGAAAACAACCTTGGTTGGGTGAAAGAGAAAACAACCTTTCCACTGTCATCCCATTTCAGTGGAAGGTCAGGCATGATACTCTCGTTATCTCCTGTAAGTTTTCTCCCGACGGTAAATACGTCGTCTCAGGCTTGGATGTGAACCGCGGAATCTGCATAATGGATGCGGAAAATACCACCACCATCTCACTAGTCAAAGGTGAGGTTGTACAGGCTCCCTGTCTGCTCTGTCCACCACGGTTAATAGCTGCTTGTCACTTGACTGCTGGTGACTTTCCATTGCTTTAGGTAGTGAAAATCTAATGATTTGAACTGCATCATTAAAGCCTGGGACATGGATTGATGAAAGCACAATTAACACCAATCCTCTTCAGTTAGGGCTTTTCCGTTCCATTTCATGCTCATAAGAAATGAAACAACGTTCTGATTCAACCATATATAGACATTGAAAGCCTCATCTCTTATTGAGTGGAGGCTTTGCTTTTTTATTTTATTTTAAAAATTTTTTGGCCTTAACATTTAGTTATAATTATTTTTTGATCTGGGGTCTCACTCTGTCGGCCAGGCTGGAGTGCAGTAGCACAATCCTAGTTCACTGCAGTCTTGAACTCCTGTGCTCAAGCAATCCTCCCACCTCAACCTGCCGAGTAACTGGAATTACAGGTATGCAACGCCATGCCCAGCTAATTTTTTTTATTTTTTGTAGAGATGACATCTAGCTATGCTGCCCAGGCTAGTCTTGAACTCCTGGGCTCAAGCAATCCTCCCGCCTGAGCCTCCCAAAGTGATGGGATTACAGGTGTGAGCCACCGTGCCTGGCCAGCCTTCTTAACGTTTTTAACCATTTTTATATTTTAAAATATACAAAATAATAAGCACCGTATGTTAATTTCCTGGTTATGATACTGTACTCCAGTCATACCTGATGTTACCATGGGGGGAACTGGGTGATGCATATACAATATCTCCCTGTGTTATTCCTTACGTCTACATGCTATTATAGTTGACAGATATCTCAAAATAAAAAGGTAAAAGATTGTCATCATTGTAAACATGTATGTATGTAAAGTAAAAAGCGCGATGCTGCGGTATCATCCTGTCTCTTTCCCGAGGTACCAATTAGGTTGCTGCGTGGCCTTCCTGAACCTGAACTCTGGGTGTGTTTGCACACACAGCACGCTTCCCACATGTGCCTTGTGTTTCTTTTCATCATGACACCTTGCGTGGCACCATGACATGGGACTGCTCCACAGTGCCCATGGCAGGCAGAGGGTGGAAAAGGAGGTGCTCCCCGTAGGGAAGCCCGCCACTCCTCACACTGCAAACTCCAGCTGCAGCCGCACTTCTCCAAGCTCCAGTCCACCCCCAGCCCTTTGCATGGGCTGTTTCTTCTGCCTGGAGGCCCTTCCTGGACCCCTCAGGGTGGGCAAGGCTGCTGCTGGCTAGAAGTCATGAAGTCCTGTGTCATGCACCAGGTCATTGTCATCTCAAGGGTGTCTACCCCCTCAGACTGGGAGCTCAGTGGCGGCAGGGAGCAGGCTGGCTGTGCCCCCTGTTCGAAGCCTGGCACACAGCAGGCAGTCAGGAAATGTGTGCGAGTGAGTAGTTCCTTATGAAAAACGGAATTGGGGTTTCTGTCAGGGTTGCTGGCTGGGGAGTTGTGTGAGCCTCCAGCCCAGAAGGCGTGGTGATGGGTCCCTTTCCCTGTGCTGCAGATCATCACAGGAGATCAATCACAGCATGTTGCTTTGACCCCGACAGCCAGAAGGTGGCTTCCGTCTCCATGGACAAGAGCATCAAGATCTGGGATATTACATCCCAGGCCACACTGGTCACCATCACCAAGTGAGGAGGGCCCCCCCGGGGGGTCCGGCAGCAGGGGTCGGGGACAGCCCCATTCATGCCCTCCTGGATTCCACGCAAGTCAGCACCCAGGTGGACGCCTCTGCAGCTTGGTCATGGGTGCTCCGAGCAGGCTGGAGACAGGCAGACCAGGGGATGGTGCGGGGGAGACACCAGCTCTGGCTTGCGAACGGGGCTGGGCCACAGATGCATTTGTTTCAACGTGAGCCAACACTGAAAAATATTGTGCAGAGACCTCACAAAAATGTGAAGTTCCAGCATCCCCTGTCAAATAGGAAGATGTGATCATCCAAGGCCTGCAACCTGGCAGGGGTCACTGCCAAGGGGGCAAGTCCTCTCGGCAGGCTCTGAAGTCCGCATCCTGGAATGTGTATCCACTGGTCACCCTGCCCGCCGCCTTCCAGTACAAGCCCTGCCGGCCTGGGCCAGCTTTCCCATGGGGGTCTGGTCAGGTGTTAAGCAGGTGCGGGCTTGTGTTTTGGGGGCCTTGGGCCTGAGTTTCCCCACCTGCAAACTGAGTAACAGTGAGATCTGAAGGAGATAACACGTGGAGGAAGCCCTTCGCACGGGGCCGCTGCACAGTGGGGCTCAACACGGGCTCTGTTACTGAGAGTGATGGCCTGGGAAAGCTTGGGTCGGGGGCCATGGGGGCGCCCTGCTCCCCTCCCCCGGAACCCTTGGCGGTGGCATGGGGGGGCGTGAGGGCAGTAGAGAAGGCCACAACTTTGGCTGCGGACAAGTGTCCCAACCCACTCCATTCTATTGCTCCAGCGAGCGTGGTGGTGAGAAAGGGAGATAAACAGTCTCTTGGTAGTTTTGATTTACCTTGAATCCATGACTTTTTTGTAAGTGTAGCTTTTAGCAAAAAAACAGAGGCCAGGAGTCTCACAGCTGCAGGACAGGGTTGGCTTCCTGGCATGTGATATCTGAGGTCACACAGAGGCCCACGCTCAGCGGGGCTCCACACTTGATTTCATGTTCTGCACTAGACATCTTAAAATTCTTTTGTTTAGTCAGGCTCGGTGGCTCAGCCTGTCATCCCGCACCTTTGGGAGGCTGAGGTGAGTGGATTGCCTGAGCCCGTGGGTTTGAGACCCGCCTGGGCAAGT